CACTTTCAATGGACCTAAATGTCAGTCTACACATTAGGAAAAGAACACATCAATCCTATTTTCAACAAAATGCTAATATCTAAACTATACAATGGACTCAAGAAATCAAACTCCAATAAAAAATGACCCAATTATATAATTTTCACAGAACTAAACAAAGAATTTTAACAGCGAAATCTTGACTGGCTTAGAAGCACTTAAAGAAATGCTCACCTTCCCTCATCATCAGAGAAATGCAAATCAAAATGATTCAGAGATTCCATCTCAGAGTCTGAGATGAGATGACAAGTCTGAATGACTAAGATCAAAAATCTCAAATTGTAGCACATCCTGGTGAGGATGAGGACAAAGGAGAACATGCTTTCCTTACTGGTGTGAGTGTAAACTTTTACAAGCACTTTGGAAAACAATCTGGCGCTTTCTCAGAAAATTGGGAAGACCCAACTATACCACTACTGGATATATGCCCAAAAGAGGCTCTACAAGAAGGACACCTAATCAAGTACATTCATAGCAGTTTTTTCTGTAGTATCCAGAATCTGGGAACCGCCTAGATGTCCCACAACTGAAGAGTGGATAAAGAAACCATGGCACATTTACACAAAAGAATATACTGAGCTATTAAACACAAGGCAATCAACTTCCATTGCTTTCCCCAGCCAGCTGTGAGATTTTCTGAAATCTTGTTCTGAGCATGCACAGACACACCCTACCCACTCCATCCCATTCCCTCCCCCTATATCTGCTGCATATGACCACTACTTCACATGCAGGGTGGGGACCCCTGAGAAAAAGAAGTTTTTCTAGGATTACAGTAATCAGAATAGAATAGGATAGAATAGTGTCATAGTGATTATGACATTTAAGGAGACCACAGGCCATAAATGCACACCCTCATGGTTTTATAAATGGCAAATGCACCTGGGTCAGGCCTGGATAGGTAGAAGATGAGAGAAACTTAAGGGTGAGGGGAGGAAGACCCCCTCCTCCTCTCCAGGGATGCTCTCCAAGCTCAGACATACGTAGGGACCTTCGCAGAGGAATTCATCCAAACCCTTCCTGGACTAGAGGAGTTCTGGAGGAGTTTTGAATTCCCTGCAGTCACCAGAGCGGTTAGTGCCACCTGAATTCACTGTGCCAATTGCTTGAGAAAAATTTGAAGCCACTGCCTGACTTCCACATGGGCCGAGATGCTGTGGCTCCTTCATGGGTCTTTCCTTAGTTGTGTTTAAGTCCCTCGGTTTCCTATTCTTGTATTTGAAGGATGACTGACACAAATGAAGACAGAGAACACTAGAATATGACAATGGAAATCATATTTATTTCCCATAAGCCAAGTTTGGGAAACTGCCACCCTATTGAAAGACTGTTGACACAGAGCCTCTTTTTCCTTTCTTCAGGAATATCTGACTGAAGCCTGGACCTCTGTGAGTTCAAGGCCAGCCTGGTCTACAGAGTCCAGGACAGCCTAGAAATACAAAAACAAGCAAACAAACAAAATCCAACCATCCAAAACAAATCAAAACAGACAAACAGAAATGGCTGCTATGGAAAGTTGAAATTGTATTATTTTACTATATAAAATTTAGGAAATAAAACCAGCTTCTATCTTGTCATGGCCTTAACTCAACTTTCACACCCACACCCACTTCTCTCTCTATTCCTCAGTGCCTCCTATTGAGGGGAATAACTGCTGAGGTCCTAGTGAGTACTATTTCCCTTCTATTTCTCCCACAATTTCCCAGCTGATTCACCCAAGGACAGGCTGGAAAGGGCAGGGATTGAATCTCTCTCATTTTAGATGGGATTCACTACAGAACAGTTGTGTCGGAGGCCAGAGAAACAATACAGCCACAAGACAAGGAGCCTTGGATTCATCCCTGGCTTGGGTTTCAATTCTGATCTGAAATGCCATCAAAGGGTTCCATTATTTCTCTTCCCTTTTTTTCCCTCCCCCCATTGAATCATGTCCCTGCCCTTTGATGATGAGTTCACTAGAATGAGGTCATGGGCCAATAACCTACTCCTGTCTGTAGCCTTCCCCCCAGCAATGAGAAACCATAACCACGGTACTGGGAATTACATTATCCAGTGTTTCTTTGGAACATATAAGTGAGAGCACCACGATTTCGCTGCCTTTTCAGGATGTTGATACACAAGTGTAATACTTGTGTTAATTTTATACACACTCTCATCAGACAATTAAAGGTTTTTTGTAACATAACTGATGTCCTGCATTACTGGAGTACTGTGAGAACAAACCAATCCATAAATATATAAAACAGATAATTTAAATATTTATATATTTATTATATATTGACATAAATATATAATATATATTTATATATTATACTTATATAAATATATTAAAATAAATTAAAAAATAAATTTAGTAAAACTTATTTTTTTTTAAATCTTTTATTTATTTTTTATTAATTACACTTTATTCATTTTGTATCCCCCCATAAGCCCCTCCCTCCTCCCCTGCCAATCCCACTCTCCCTCCCCTTTCTGCATGCATGCCACTCCCCAAGTCCACTGATAGGGGAGGTCCTCCTCTCCTTCTTTCTGATCTTAGTCTATCAGTTCTCATCAAAAGTGGCTGCATTGTCCTCTACTGTGGCCTGGTAAGGCTGCTCCCCCCCCAGGGGGAAGTGATCAAAGAGCAGGCCAATCAGATTATGTCAGAGGCAGTCCCTCTTCCCATTACTATGTAACCCACTTGGACATTGAACTGCCATGGGCTACACCTGTGCAGGGGTTCCAGGTCATCTCCACAAATAGTCCTTGGTTGGAGTAGGAGTCTCTGGGAAGTTCCCTGTGTTCAAATTATCTTGTTCTGTTGCTCTGCTTGTGGAGTTCCCGTTCCCTCTAGCTCTTACTATTTCCCACTTCTTACATAAAATTCCATTCACTCTGCCCATCAGTTGGCCATCAGGCTCAGCATCTGCTTTGACAGTCTATACTGCAGAAGCTTTCAGAGGCCCTCTGTGGCAGGTTTCAAGGTTGTTTCCTGTTTTCTTCTGGCTTTCAGAGGCCCTCTGTAGCGGGTTCCGAGGTTGTTTCCTATTTTCGTTTTCTTCTGATGTACATCCTCTTTGCCTTTCAGGATGGGGATTGAACATTTTAGTTAGGGTCCTCTCTTTTGCTTAGTTTGTTTAGATGTACGTAAAACTTATTTTTTAAAAATCATTTTGTTTCTGCTCACCAAACGCTATTATGATATTAACCCACCATGACTTCTGAATCATTGGAGGTTGGCATTTTTTTTCCTGTTTTCTTGTAGCGCTTTTTTTTTTCAACTCTGCTTTATTTGGGGGTGTTTAGTCCTCAACCTCCCTATTGGGGAAAGAGGAGGAGCAGACTGCTTTACTTCTCTGGGCTGTTGGGGTTTGAGGGGTCTTTTGGGGGTCTCTACACCAATCCCCATCAACTGCAGACGCAGCCATCTTCTCTCTACCCTAGGATGTGCTCAGAGGCCTAGGTCACACCACTCTTGGTGCATGAGGCAGGCCTATTATCAGCTGGCTAGAAACCACACCCCTTGAGACCATTAACAGGCATGGATGAAGTATGTGCAAACCGAAATCCCACACTTGGGACTAAGATGGAAACATATTTACACAACATTCCCAGGACTTCCCTTCTGTCTCCTCACTGTGGCCCCCAGCTGTCGGGAACCCATTTGATTCCAATCAGTCCTGTTACCCCGAATAAAAGGAGGAGTGCTCCTCCCTGGTTCTAATTATGCAAAAGCCAAAATAGACAGAGACACTGGGCACATATAGAAGAAGGACCAACTTCCAGTAGCAACTCACCCAAAACTACCGTTATCCCAAAAGGACTTAAATCAGTGTGTCCTTTAAGGACTGGGGAGACATCTCAGCTAGGTCTACGTGCTGCAGAGCTGGCTCTTGGGTACTTTTACTGGCTGAATGCATTGTTAAATCGGGCCACTGGGAAAAACTTTTGCTTCCATTCAAGCGAGTCTTTGCACACTCAAGGGTTCACCGAGTGACTTACTATCCTTCCTGCAAAAATCAGACTGGTATGCAAGGCCCATATCCTTCCCACATAGTCATTTCTTGCACCTTCCCCAAACAAATGCCCATTTCCAAGGGAAAAGGTCTCTATTAAGGGCCTCTGCCGCCGCCAGAATACACATTGTTCCCTTTTGGGGACATCCCAGTGAGATCTTTTTTTTTTCAGATTACAGGCCTCGACTTCCCTTCCAAAGTACAATCTAATCTCATTCCGTCTAAACGGAGACTGTTTTTTCAGAACAGCCTCTGGGAAGGGCTTCTGGAAGGTTTATAGTTCGGGAGCCAAGGTGACACTGGCCTTGCTATAGATAGGCACACTGGCTCCGTTCAAGTTCTTTGGCTCTGCTCCAAACAGAGCATATGTTTTAATCTTTTTAAGCTTTAAAGAGAAACCCATGAATTGTTGTTGTTTTTCTAATATTTATTTATTTATACATATGAACACCCTGTCTGAATATATCCCTGTATGACACAAGGGAGCACCAGATCCCACTCTAGATGGTCATGGGCCACCCCATGTGGGTGCTGGAAATTGAACTCAGGACCATCTGGAAGGGCAGACAGCGCTCTTAACCACCAAGCCAGCTCCCCACCCATGAGTTTTTAAATCAGAGAAAGCCATTCGGGTCCTTGGCCCTTAAGCTCTGGGTTCTCACAGCTCCCCATCAAACACCCTCGCCATATAAACAAGTGTCCGACTGTTTTCCGTGTGTAATTTTTAACCTGCAGAGAAAACCTCGCCAAGACGCACACACACATGAACCTCTCTGGTTCGTCCTTGAGGGCGCATTGGAGGGGCTGGGGACGCAAGATTGGGGTCCTGCTGGGAAATGTTTTTGCATTGCTGAGTTTACTCTGAGCACCCTGGGCTGTCAGGAGCCGGAGTGCCAGAGCACCCTGACATCACGGCTTTATCCAGGGTGCGCACCTTCTTCCCCGCTTCCCACTAAGACTCACCTTGCTGGATTCTGGTCACCAGGTGATGGCCAGCAAGTATCCAGCTGGTCCTGTAGGGAGGGAGAGCGCCTTGCGCTCTGATCCAGGTGCAGGAATGCATAGAGGTAGCAGCAGCCCGAGGCCAGGGGCCTGGGCCCCTGGGGGTACATGTCCTGCGGCCTGGTGGGGGAAACCCCTGTCCCCTAGCCGCCAACTCCTAGGCTGCTTGGGGCTCCCCGCAGATGTCTCCAGCCTTGCTTCAGCACCAGGACACAGCAAGACGCAGCAGATTTTTCTTTCTTTCTGTTTCTTTCAAGGAGTGCCAAAAGCAAAAAGTCAGAATTCCAACCCTCCTGGGGTCCTCATAGCACATTTGGAACCAATTGGAGCTCATGAAGAGGAGGGCGGGTGTCCTGAGTGTGACCCCGCCAGCCCAGGACAGGGCAAGCCACGGATACCAGGAGGGAGGCAGGGAATGTTGTGTTGCAGAGGTTCTGATGGAGGATAGGGGGCATGGGGAGGGCACCCCGCTCCTGGAACAGAGAGGGGACAGGGGCTGAGGGGGAGCCGGGAGTCTTTCCAGGTTAGGAAAGTTGAGAGGAAGCAGGTTTGTTTGTTTGTTTTGTTTTGTTTGTTTTGCCTTTCCTTAGAGTCAGAGGAGACTGGGGTGTAAAAAGAAAATAAAAAAGGTATCTTTGTTACTGGTGTTAAATAAACTTTAAGAGGAAAAAAGAAAGTAACTTTGTTACTGGTGTTAAATAATAAAACTTAAACCGTAAACAAACAAACAAACCAAGGGTCATTGGGTCCTTTTATCGCGAAGGAGTTAAACAAATAGAAGAAAGAAAACTATTTTTGTCTTTTTTTTTTCTTCCGTTGACACTGGATGTACAAGGAGACTTTCAGCAAGCATGGGGCGGCTTAGAAAAGACCCAGCACCACCGTCAAGAAACACCAACTCGGGGAGATGGAGGCAGGGGGATCTCAGTGAGTTCAAGGCCAGCCTGGTGTCCAGAGTCCGGGACAGCCAGGGCCACACAGAGAGACCCTGTCTTAAAACAAACAAACAAACAAACAAACAGAGACAAGCAAGATGCCATCTGAATAAGATTATTTCTGACATCTCCAGTGATGTCAGAAACAAAACAAAACAAAACAAAACAAAACAAAAACAAGACGAAAATTGCCACACCAGACAACAGAAACGGTGTGGGCCTTCTGGCTGGATGAGCTGGGGGAGAAACTGCCAGTCAGCTTGACCATAGCTGAGGAACCCTATGGGAGTAATTAGAATTTCTCCTCGTCATTTTATTTTTTTCCTCTTTGGGAGTAAGTTTTTGACACCAACAAAACAGAATAAGGAAACAGTGAAATCAAAAACAAACACACAGAGAGAAGGCTTCTTGAATTTTAAGCCTGCCGCTGAGTGAATAAAGCTCTCTGGGTTGAGAAGGGCAATCTTCTTTTTGGTGACTCAGTGATGTGGAACCTGGAGATCTACAGGCACATGTTTCACTGGATGCTGGGCGGGATGGCCCAGTGGTTAGGCAGGCTGGGTACTCTTCAGGGGAGGTTCTGTTTGTTTTCATTTTCTTTCACTTATTTCTCCCCGGAGGAGGTGTGACAGTAAAGGCTTGGCTCCTTGCCCCTGGGTGACTCTGCGGGAGAAGGTACAAAAGAAAAAAAAATCACCATTGCTCTGTGTTTTAAGCCATGTGTGTGTGTGTGTGTGTGTGTGTGTGTGTGTGAAAGACCCCAGCCTCACACTAAGTTAAACATAGCTAACACCATTTTGTGAGACACCACTATTTTGTAAAACTCTGAAGGCCAGATGAGAAACTGGAAAATTACTGAGAAATCCTAGCTGTGTCACCCACTTGGGATATCTGTGGTCAGGCTGCCCCAGTCATACTAAAAACAGTTTGTATTAATCACCCTCATAGATATCTGTGAGACTGTTTCAGCTAAGATAGAGAAAAACAAAATAACAGGTGGCGGGCCACGGCAAGGGGTCATCCTACCCCCCCTTGACCACCCAGTTCCTGGAATCTTGGTGCCCCTGCCAAACTTTGACGCAAATTGTGGTCTCGTGTAAACGTACCAATCAGCCCCCTGTAACCATGCCCTCTCGCTTCTGTACCAGTGCTTCTGCTCTAAAACCCTATAAAAACCCCAGTTTTTCCCCAAGGAGGGGCGCAAGGTCCTCCCGAGTGACCTTGTTGCCCCGAGTACTCGTGAATCAAAATAAAAGCCTCTTGCTGTTTGCATCCGAATGGCCTCGTTGTTCCTTGGGAGGGGGTCTCTCTGACGGAAGATACCCTCTGGGGATCTTTCATGTGTGTGTGACCACGTCAGTTGACCCAAAAAGTGTGATGTTTGGTTAGAGAGCTGTGCTGTTTGTGTATTAGCTTATGATCTCAGCACTCAGGGAGGTGAAGGCAGGGGAATCTCTGTGAGTTCGAGGCCAGCCTGGTATACAGAGTGAGTCTGGGACAGCCAGTATTACACAGCGAAACCCTGTCTTATAAAGCCAAAAATAAAATAAAATAAAATAAAATAAAATAAAATAAAATAAAATAAAATAAAATAAAATAAAATAAAAATCCACTCAATATCTAGTTTCAATCAGAACAAAGAACTGTCAACCTTCTTAAAGTTATCCTCAAGTCATCACATGAAACATACATATTTTTCTCTAAGGTACATAAGCAGTGGTGACTTGGAGTCACAAAACTGTTTTTCCTGTTTATATATGGTTTCATTTATTTCTGTATCCAAGCCTAGTTCTTTTTTTTAAATCTTCACTACATTTTATTCATTTGTTCTGAAAGACCCCTGCCTCACCCTAAGTTAAACATAGCTAACGCCATTT